ACTGAGATATTATTGACTAACGAATCAAGCTTCAGCAGAGCCTGATTTAAAAACAGAAATGAAGTGGTGAAGTGCACCAAAACGAGTTTTTATTCCTTTACCAGCACTTATTTCTCACTTTATTTATTTCCCACCTAATCTATGATATCATTAAGGAACTGCCCGTTTAATTTGGTAAGAAACTATTGGATCTATGAAAACCCCGCTACACGGATTTAGTCATAAGAAATCGATCAGTCAATGAACACAAATTTCCAAGCTCACTAGAATTTATTTGGACCATTGAAAGCTCTATTGATTGATATGCGACCATCGCTAGCCGATGAAAATTACTACAGACACATCTTAACGGTGGCGATTTGAACAACTTGCTTGTTGGAAATCTGGAGCTATGGCTTAGTTTTGAATAGATGATAATGAACTTTAAAAGTGGATTCGTCGAAATTTTTCAGCAACTGTTTGGATGAGGTCACTTTCCCAGTGAAAGTTGTTTGGGGTGATGAAGCAAAGCTCAAGTTGAACACCTGAGTCAGTCGACGTACTTCTGAGTACAGGACAGCGACAAACAACAACGCCTGATATTGACTTTCTGTCACAAGTGGCTAATTGGTTACATGTATATATGAGATGTGGTTACAGCAAGACAGCACCGTCTGGTGAGCACTTCAGGCACAAGTAGCTTGGGCGTCGTGGCTTTCTCCAAGCTCAACTTATTTTGCACCTCTAGACATTTACTTTATAGTTGCGCAATTTGCAATTTTTCTTTCGTTGAACTGACCTCTTAACATATTGAATAGTATTTTTTTCGAATGATCAACGTCTAGGACGTTGCAATTTATTCAGCTACAAAATATCTTGAGTATCGGCCCCGCATACTTTGCTTTCCCTCCTCCAATTACTTTCCAAGAGTAAATGTAATGTAAATTGATTTGCTGCTAATATGAAGTAATTTGACTCTGACTTTGTTCACATAAATCAATCCGGTTCGCATTTTTAACTCCGTTAAACTAATAATCTGCCAATTCATTAAATTAAAATACTCGAGTGCATGAAAATTAGTATAAAGGAAGTTCAGACAAGTTGGCCCTTTTCGTAAAAATAAAATAATTTCTATGTCAAAATATTTTATTAAGAAACAATGGATCCGACTAAGAAGTCCAACAATGAAACCAAATAACCATATTAAAGCGGGATTTAATCAGTTCGAGAATAACGGAGACTTATTGGCGTTCCAGTATCCTGAAGCATAATGCCATGCGTATTTCGCCTTTGCATTATAACAATTTTTTTATAAAGGACGTCTGAATATAAATATCGGAGTATTGAGGATGTAGTGCCCTTCCGCAATGTAGTCAGTCGTCAGGGGGAAAAGCAGATACACAAAAATCAAGACGGTTGTCTGTCTTCGATTTTGCCATGGGGCGCGTGAAGCATAGAAAAAAAAACAGTCGGATTATATTTACCAGACAGACTGGCTAGTAAAGCAGGCCGATGAGAGTAGCGGAAGAAGAAGAAAAGGGGGGTCCACCAACACAGACGAATTGATCAAAAAACCCAAAAGGATGATACGAAGGAAAAAGTGTCAGCATTTGACAAAAAATATGTAGGTAGAGTCACTAGGGGTAATTAAGTTGAAAAAACAATGGACCAATTAGAGTTGTTTGCTGGTGGCTTAATATAGATAGTGACACTGGGGTTTCTTTGGAGATACCATTAGTTTCCTTGTTGTTTTTAATTTTAGTAATTGTTTGTCATATTAAGTTGTTTTATATTTTCGAGGCTGAGGTGAAGAGCGTCGTAAGCATTCAACCCTTTAAAACACAGCTGAGAGCTTGTCTGGCAATGAACTTCTGAAAAAAAATAACTGGTGAAATAGAGGTCCGCAATCATTTCTACAAATATTTGTGGCTTTTAAAGACTTCCATCTTCACTTGTCTCTTCGTAAAAATTTTTGTCATAGCCAGTGCGCTAGCATTTAAAAAAGCTCCAGTGTCTGCATTATTCTTTTCGTGGGTCATAATTCAATATCCGATGCTGCTAACCCAGTCAATAGATGATAGCCCACTACAACTTGACCTTGCACTGTTTTCCAATCAGTGTGCCCATCTGTTTGGGTGAGATATTTAATAATTTAACTTTAAGTAACATGTTGAGCGATTGAGTTGACCACTTATGGGGGTGATTCCACCGCCAAATTTTCGTCTGATTTGACAAATTTGCTGAGCCGTAAACTAACATAATCTTGTCAATCACGGTAATCTAATTTAGCCGAAATCTGTTATTTTAATTACAGCAAAATCATCATCTACTAGTTCTGATCAATGCAAAGACATAAATGGAGTGGCTGAAAAAAAATCACACTTGACCGAAAAGATGTAAACGAGGACGGCTGATTGAAATAATAAGAATTTACTAAATTTTTTCCCCATTGATTTGGTTCTTAGACACGACCACCGTTAATTCGTGTTGGGTGCAAAAGAATTAGATCAGAGCTAGATGTTTCCACAGAAAGCTGCATTTCTAAGCACAGATTGTCCAATTACTTTAAAACAGGACAAATCTTAATAAATAATAAACAGTTTATTGTGTTGAGGTGAAGTCTTCTAGTCCATTAATAATCATTTTGTTCTATACAGACTGTGACTTGACTGGATGATGCAGTGTGACATCTTAGAGGCACACCGCGTACTGCCTGTTCTGTCAGTGCGCGGTTCAGTCACGGAAATTACTTAGGTGGATCCATGACAGGCTAAGAAACAGCCTTTGTTGCCGAGATGGCGATTTATGACGGTGCCCCAAGATGCTCAAAACAGCCCTCAATGGCTAAATGCACCACCCTTTATTGCAAGGAGTTTTCGCGCGTCTGACTTGAAGGCTAGGCCTGGCTTGGGCAACATCGCATCAACGCAGCCAGTTGCTTCGGGAAGCCATTTCACCAGAAAACTACTGATATGGGATTTTTTTCTAAGAAACTGGAAATTAAGGTCAACCAAGTCCAACACACAACCGGTCTACACAACGAGCGATTCTTATGCAAAAACTAGCAACAACTCCACCGGCTAACAGACATAAATCAGCCTAAAGGAATGTAATCGTCAGGGCAAATCCAAATTTTGAGGATTTAGGGGAAAGACAGCTAAAGCACACGTTCGGTTTTAGCATCTAAAGACTCCTCTCAGTGTAGTTGGACTGACTCAACAGTACTAATCAGAACTCTTCCCTATCATTTGAAGGACAACTCTGCTCAACATTTCTGTCTAAATCATCCACACAGTCTGAAAGAAGGCGAGTTAGCCCATCCAACACCAGGACACTAAAAAAAGCAAACAAGTGGCATGTGCGGTGTAGGCCGTTCCCAATTAGGACACCGAAATCCGTCCATAGATCGTATTTGTTGTGATTGTCTACAGTTTCATTAATCATATGGCTCCCAGACATTCAAGGACTCAAATAGCAAGTAAAGTGTACCTAATTTGAATTACCATTTGATCATTTTACTCGTGTTTAACTTTATGTACACTCCAACGAAGTTTATAACAACTAAAAAGTACCCTAAATATCAAGCTACATTACTGTTAAAATGTGACTTGGTAGTTACGTCAACGATGACAATGTCAAGCAGCATAATAAATGTACCCACTGTGATACAAACCTACTAAAACCAAATTCACAGTATAAGGCTTTAACTTAATAAACCACTTGGTGATTAGTGGCAATTTTTCCGATGGCGCACAATTCATTCACGATTTAATTAAAAATTGTGACTACTCAATGACAGTTACAAAGGTTCAAAGAGTATTTGGCTGACTTAAACGAAGCAGAACGCAGCGAGATTTTAGCTAAATCACGTCGGCCTGATAATTAGGACAACGAGCATCGTGAATCTGACATCCCCATCAGCGTTTACAGACCACATCGGCGGGAACGCATGGCATAAATCACTTGATGAAGCAAGTGAATTCACCCCTGCTGTTGTGGGGGCAAGGCGAGCGCTTGAAGCGGTGGGGCGCGTCAGGGCGGCGTGACCTCAAGAAGACGCGCCAGTAATCCTCCGTCAGTGTGACTCAGCGCCCAGCGCACACCAGCCGCAGGGCCGAAGGTAGTCAGATTTCGGAAATCGTGGCCGTAGTTGTCATGACCTTATTAAATGAAACTCCGTACACACGTTAAAAGGCATCTCAGTTGGCCGAACCAATTCGTGCAGCAAGAGACTTAAGGGCTGCAGGAGATACAGGTCTCTTAATCACAACCTGCTGATTTTGGAATGGCCATGACTATCCGCATCATTTTGGCCTGCACTTGGAAAGGGGAATATGGAGAAGAAACGAACAGGATAACGCTAAAGAACGAGGACACCTCAACAGGCGGCAATATAGTTAAGGTCAGGCTGTGACAAGGCCAAAACGGTGGAGCAATCCAGCTGGAATCCAACCGCACAATTATTTACAAAGAACCCTAGACATTTAGGCAACCACCATCCCTGGGAACAATGGCGGCGGATTATGGGTAATACCACATACATTATCTACGATGACAGTAATTCCACATTCAGCCACACAGTGCGTGCCTAACTGTGTACAACACCTGACGGCTGAAGGAACCTTAAATTAAGTGACGCTCAAAGTACCTTGTCTCGGAAGTAAATTTAGCAGTCTGGAGGTCGATGTGATTTTGATACCCGTAATCACCCTCTAGTTTTACCCATGCGCTGTCAAAATAACAGCTACTCATGACACATAAGTACATTGTTTCGTAAAGTGTAGGAAAAACACCGACGAGAAGGAAATTGGAGTTTTACTGTTCTATGGAAATGGGGATATCATAGAAACGTGAACGTACTGAACTCGCATTACTTGCTGAGACTGCACCTAAAGTTACATGAAAGACCAGCGTTGAAGCCAGCAGCAGAAGAGCACTGATCGCTGCAGCAATTTACTAATAAAGACGAAAAATATATTGTATTGTACAGTGATAGGCAACAGAGCAGTATTTCACCATAGCTACGATCTGAGGAAAGGCTTGTTCTTTGCGATGAATTTATCCAACTGATCCCAGACACTTTGGAAGTTAACCTTGTCCAAGTGTCGCCGTCTGTCCAAATTTATCACGTGAACATTCCACTTGGCTACATTGGGATCCAGTGGCATATTCGCGTACTTAATGTGGAAGCCCTTCACTAAAAAAGAGATTGGATGAGTATTCCATAAGACTTCTCCTAGTGTAGAAAGAATGCCAATTTAATAGAAATTTCGTCTATACTTTAATAATCGTTCCTGACCAAAATTTTCTAACAGAAAGTAGATTTTTTGACCCCAACCTAAGACAAAGAACGGAAAGTAAATAGTTGAAGACTATCGCAAGAGAACTACTACAATTGATGAAAAATGCGAAGTCATCACATTTACTCTGAACACTGATAGCTCTCAACCAAAATAGACAGACCGAGAAGACGATCTCCCGGAGTTCAGTGCCACCCATAGCTAAAAATGGGTTCAAATAACGTGAGGCAAGAACTGGGCTAACTATTTCCGCCAATACAAGGAGGACCTAATTTCTTCATTTGTCGACCTTTAACCAATTATGAACACTACTAGTCGTAGGCGGTTTGGTGTATTAAAATCAAGAAATGCAACCAACTTCTTTGAGTGGCTGGTTTTTGCAATGAGCTAATTAGAGCACGAGGGCTCAAATTGAAATAGGAAGGAAACAAATATGGATACATTTATGTTCGACAAAACCCAACACCATACCAATGGAAAAGATGACCGCAGGATCACTGCCAATGGGCCACCCCTTGAATTGCCATGCCTGACCTTGCACAAAGACGGCAACAACGCGATTCCACTCTTCTGGTTGAAGGCGGTTCGGCTGATCGATCACGCGATAAGGCACCGTTCGACCATCTGGCTTCTGACGGTGGATAAGAACCTCGTTCTCACGTTTAAACCCCTGGCTTCGTTTCTCCTCAGCGGTGACAAATCGAAGATCCTACGGCATGAAGGAATGATACTAAGATGCAACTAACAACAATGCTATGACCAACTTCTCATGACGCTCGTAGACGAAATTGTTCTGTCAGTGCACCCAGTTTATTTTCGTCGCGATGTGTGTCTATGAGGGCGTATAATAATTCAGAAGCTAGTTATAATGCAATTAGGATAACAAACAAGAAGTCAAGTTTGACGCCCTTCATAATTTTTTCGGCAAACAGAAATAGTAGAAAGAAGTCGCAGTCGGTCTCTGACTGTTTAGGGTTTCACTTAGCACGACAATGTAGCAAGTAAAATCAATACTTGAAGAATTGAAACTCGTCTAAGAAAATCAAACGTTGCAACTCGTAAAGACGAGTTTGTTGTCCCAAACGATATTAGCTAATACTAATAAAGGTGAAGAAATAGACTGCCGATTTGATGACAGGTGGGACCTGCTCAGATGGGAGCAATTTCGATAATAGCGCTCGGTGTGCGAACCAAAACAACAAGCCAACGCTGCGGATCAAAAGAGCATAGCGAGTGGTAAGGCGAGATTTCCAAAAAAAAGTAGGTGATGCACATAACTTGGTTTTTTGGGGTAAAAGCTAAGCGACAAAAAAATCGAGACAAATCAGATAGCAAATGTGGAAATCATTGGATGACTCACAAGAATTCAGTACTAAGAGGGCTGTCATATTCCGACTATACTCAAGTTTACATGTGCGTCATTCTTATGAATGCGAAAATCTAGGGGCTCTAGGATATTAACAAAAGTTATACCTTTTAAAAAAGGCATGCCAACGTCTAACGCGTGTCGGCTAAAACAACTGACAATGTCATTTAATGCAAATAATTACGAAAAGACGTCGAAAGTAAAGAGCAATGTATATGTTATCGCTACCTAGACAGGTGATTTAGTACTAAAAATTTACTATAAATGAAAGGAGAAAATAACTGGTCCAATTGTGCGCCCCGCTTCATATGACGGCGGAAATTGGCATTTGAAACAGTGCCGAAAGCATAAAAAAGTTGGGGCCGTGAGATGGTTTGTTGGGTTCTTTGCAAAAGTAGTCTTACCTGGAGGATATCAGTGGCATTAAGCATTGTAATGAGGCTAGTTGGTGCTGCCGGAATGATAATAATAGGGACTCGAGAAACACGCGGCTTGGGGCGGGAGGGCACAGAGCGAGCACTGCGATCTGGGAATTAGTAATAAGGCATGGATAAGTGCTGTCTTTTAGAACTAGTTCGTTCAATCACAAAACCGAATCACATGATACTACGTCTAAATGGCCGCTGTCGACGATCAGGCATAATTGTAAGCAAGTGAAGAGTTGCTGTTTTAACTCTAAGTTTTTGAAACCGTAGTTGTAGGAGAAGCATGAAGAGGTTAAAGATTTTGCTTTGGGTACAGAGATATGCCGTAAGGAGAATCTAGAACCAAATCCTGAAGCAATGCTAAATCAATACAACGAGAAACGGGATATCGACAAAAGTACCATATTAGTATTAAAAGATCATTTTGGTACGAGTCATTAAAATAAACGGCAGCAAAACTTACACGGATCTGGAGTTAAGCCACCGGAGATTGGAGTACCGGCAGCCACGCCTCTTGGGTCCCGTGGCGTTCTGGCTCCAAAAGATGTCTCATGGCCAGGGGTTGTGGGAAGCCGCATGGCAGTCAACGTTGGTCCGGTGTTTCCATAGGACATTACATCCACAGACAGACCATTGCCATCTGGCTTTGACGTTCCAATGGAGCTACCAACCATGGAAGCGAGAGCTTTACCATGATAGGAACTCATGGTGTCGATACGGAATCCAGCTGTATCTTCTCGACCAGCAGCAAAACGTTCCTGATCGTATCGTGAATACTGCATGGCGGGTGGTTGGTTCTGTTGTTGCTGTTGGACTGCCGACACCAGGGGTGTCTTATAGAAAGTACTCAAGGGACCATTTGCTCCACTAAAGGCATCACGACGGTCTGGCGCCAAGTGGGCGTTTTCTTTAAGCTACAACAAACGCAAAATGTGTAACATTTAAGGACCCAGTCGGACAGTCACGCGAAACTCACCATGACATTGCGTAAAATACCCAACACAATGTTTTCGTAAAAGGTCTTCCCTTGGCTTTGGAGGATAGTTGATCTTGTTCGCCATCGACGTTCCCGCGACGAAATTACACGAACGGCATCCACGTCGGAGGCAAGAAAGGAAACACGTTTAGGGTCGGCGGCGCGCGCAAGCGCAAGCTGTTGTTCGTCAATAGCGACAATAACTTGAGAATTCGGACCTTGGTAGTTAGGATCAGAGGGCTTCAACTGAAAACCTGTGATCCCCGTAGCCAAAATGAGGGGTTCGTCACCAGTAACAACGGCGGTGGGGTCTAGACCGTCTGGACTGCCCAGTTGGTCGCCTGGAAAATCTGTCTTCGCAACCTGCTGATTGGCCCGAAACTTGGCTCGAAGGGACTATAAAAACGGCAACTTCGACATCATCAAAATTAAAAGGTTTGGGTCTAGTGGCGATGACAAGAACTAAAACTCTTGACGGCCGGTGAGCAAATGCACAAAACGAGTGCAGAATTTTGGGACACGATCGATGATTAATTCAAACATAATATGATTAGGTAAACAAAATTTAGAATCTACTACTTTAAGAAAGCTTGCAGAACTCGATAAGATACTAAAAACGCTAAAATAATAAAGAGTAAATCCTCCCACAAACTGATGTTTCATGATTTAGAACTTAGGAAATGATAGAAGGGGACATTTAAGTGATAAAAATGTTGGAACTGACCTGAATTTTATCCAAGGATATGGCTTTGGGGAGAGCACTTCCTTCCGCTTGATCTAGAGTAGAGTTAATTTTCCCGATGGTAAGATCATCGTGCTGGATATCGCCAGACTTTGTATCGTCTGATTCGAACGAAGACAGTCGCGCTCGTTTTGCATCAACAGGTCCATCAACGTCCAGGTGCTCAACTAAAAGATTTGTATTTCTCTTTGGGACTCGCAAAACAAGGTAACAGTGCAAGACAAAGATGCAAAAGCACCAGTATGACTTACTTCCGCGTACATTCTGGACATCTGTAGGGTCCTTGGAAATGGCCCTGCGGATTGAGATGTCAACAGGAACTGTTCTGTCAATATTAACAGCGATATTTGTTTCGCCATTGAGGTAGGCCAAAAGATCGCGTCTATCGGGAAGCCTCACAACAGGTATTCCTTCGGTCTACACAAAAATAACCAGGGAAAGCATCAAACCGCTGCTTGTCTAACGTATTTTGAATGAGCAAGGCTGACATTTTTGAGAAGATACATGATGCAATTCAAAGTGTAGTAGTCCTTGGGAGCACCATCTTTCCCAGTACTACAAATTTCAACACGGAAGACCGACTCACCCCCACATAACATAGTTTGTTTTTGCCGATTTCGGCCAAGCAAATTCACCGAAGATAATCTCATCATCAGTTTCGATGATGGCCTTGTTTAGAATATGGTACTCACGCAGCAAGCCAAGAACATCAGCCATACTTTGTAGCGGTGTTTAATGAACGCGCGCTGACTTTTAATGTAATGCTCAAGAATGACAGGCACAGAATGTCGCGATGTGAAATATAAATGATAGCAAAATTACGATTAAAACATAACACGTGCCTAAGAAATTTTTTTGCAAAATTATCTCTAGTGCTTATTTCATGCAAGACAAGCTTAGGTTATTAATAGAGGCTTTTTCTAGAAACCATTAAAGATGTCAAAATAAATGTACTTATTCATTGCAAAGTTAAAAAAACTTTTCTGCGCTTTTAATTCTTTTCGAAAATCCTTTGAAAAAATGATGTTATAGTTTTGAAGGAAATTATGGACGAAATCTGGACACTGATCTCAGATGGCATTTACAACCCCATGGAATACAGTCGTGCAAAAGTTTTGGGCGAAATTTTAGTATCATATTTCATACTTAAAACCTTCTTTAAGTAAAGTTTAATTTTCTGGTTTGACGTACAGTCTTTTTTGCACATCTCAGAAAGTTTTTGTACGGCTACGACAAATTTTCAGAATACCGTCCTAAAAACACTTGGCGAAGGATGACGTTTGAGGGTTTTCAAACCGAAATCATCACCAATATTTCCTTGGCACGTTTAAAATAGAGTAATGCTTGGCCGGTAGTGAGCTATTTTGATATCAGTTGTCCGAATAAAAGATAGCCTTGGATGCAGGTTTTTGCGAATCAGTCAAGCATTCGATTCACCTTGTGTGCTAAGAAATGCAAAATGATAAAGCACTTTGAGTATTTTGTTGATGATATAAAAAAACTACTGAATTCCACTCAAACTGTAATTCGACCTCTATTTTATGTCTTTGTTAAAGGAATTACACAGTACTCAACAGCTAAATAAGAAGATCTGTTGCTTCGAACAAGCAAGTTTATTTACAAAAAAAGAGCATTAAGAAGTAATCTCCACCTTCCCACAGATTTAATTTTGAAAAGCCATTTGTAAAAACGTGGCTGAGGCTCATAAATGAGAATTGAGTATTTACCGAAAATGGCTCTTAAAAATTACCGTATGTAAATGCTTAGTGGTATCAACAAATATTGCCACACTTAGGAAGCATATATTTTAGGCGATTACCAATGATTCACCATCATTAATAGTTTTTCGATCTGGCTAGATGCATTCAACTGCCTGTCTACTGCTTGTCGCTATTGTAAAACCAGACTTTCATGACAGAAATACGTGTTGAGGTCCCGGTATGCTGGCTGAAACCACTTTGGGAGGCCACTTTAAATCTAACACAATTACGCTTACCTCAGTACCCGCAAATATGATTACAGCAATTGATTACGGTCTTAGTGGCGGACGGGCGCCACGTGAAAAGGGGGACGTGTGTGTGAGGGTGGACGTGAATCAACACGATTCACTACAAACCCAAGAAATCTAATTTACTAGAATTCTGCAAGGAATGAAGGTTCGTTGTTGTTACATTAAAAGTTAATAACTACGAGTAACAATGAGAAAGCATAACAATTATTGCAGCATTAATTCAGATAATAACTTTAAAAAAAAGATTGGTTTTACAACATTACTCTCCAACATATAAGAAAAACTAAGCTACTATGCTCAACTTGCAAAGTTTAGAATTCTAAACTGCAACTGTTAGGTTAACAGCTTAAACGGAGTAGATTGACAAGGACATAAAAGCACCAAAAGCCAAAAGATGCTGTTTCGATACTAAATAATCAAACTAAATGTGAACTGCTGAATACAGTTAAATTTTAAGGGGACTTATCTGCAATTTGGATATTATCCTTATTTTCTTTTATTAGTTTTAACATACTAAATTAAAAAGGGGAATTCCTTTGGCTTATATTATTATTGTTAAAATTAATGTATAATAAAAAATTATACACATTAGCAAGCGCATTCTGATTATCATCCATTGTAGTCACTTAACCATACGAAAACACAATGAAATGCAAATGTTTTCGTCAATCGTGTGCAGATTGATAAATATAAAGCCGAAATTCGTCAAAATTCATCAAAGACCACATGTATTAATATAGCTCAATTTCAAACTAATAAAATTTTTAAGTTTGTAAATAAAATAATAAAAGTACTCAAAATCACAAACACGGAGTCGAAACAATAAAACTAAACTGCAACTCTTATTTGTTATATTTTTCTGTCTTGGTACCGCTACTTGTAACTTGGTAGGATGGCCGTTTCCCCCTTCTCGTGGAGCGGTGTTTTTGTCATCAAGTATGTTCTTCATTTTGTTGACATTTCTTTTCTATGCAGAAAACCTTGGACAGATGTTATGCGAGCAGCCCAAATAAAGTATCCAAATCCTTTCAATCCCAACGTTTTATCCATTGATGTCGTCTCTCGAGATATGGACATGGAAACTGGTGTTCTTCATACGGTCAAATTGATAAACTCATCGTGGCCCATGTTTACCAATGTCGGGGAGCTCAAAGCCGTCGAGCGCACTATAGTTGATCCTCGGAGGAAATATATGCTTTTGGAATCAAATAACGTGGATTTAAGGGGCGTGCTCAAGGCCTCGGAGAAGCTAGAATACGAAGTGCATCCTGATAACGCAGAATGGTGAGGCAACGCTCCTTATGCCTCATTTTGAGGGTAACGAATTTCTATTAGTACTTCCAATTAGCCTCTCTTGCTAATGCAGCGGGAATTGTCGTTTACATTCATGGAGATTGAGGGTCGTACTCGTCAGGGATTCCAAACTGTGACGTATATGGATGCTTTTAATAGTAATTACATTTTTTCGGTCGCAGACACAGTGTTAAAATTCTCAGATTTTAAAGCTAGTTAGAATGCAGTCTACTTCTTTTCCTCGTCCGTCAACAGGACCAACTACTCATGCCTACTCCAGGCTATCATTGCTTCTTGTAATATATGTGACACATTTTGCTGTAATTTTTTAAGGACTATCATTCGTCATCGCGTTTCCGTGGATGCCTTCCGGTTCATTGCCTATGCAGCGCTTTCCGCTAGTCAAAAAGCCGCTCGTTTGGTACGTCAATTGTCACCTTTTACATGTGTGCTATAGACTTGTGCTGCAAAATTTTCTCATATGATTCCACATAACCTGGTTATTAGTGTTTTGCCTATGCGTGAAGATACCTGTTTGCCCTAAATAAGTTTTCCTAAATACTATTATTTGCAAGGATTTTTTAAATGCGATAACTTTCATCGCTTAATAATACCCAAGGAAAATATTATAATTGTTTCTGCGTTTTGATTTTCAGGTTAAATATTTTGACCTGAGTATACACTTATTTACATTTTTATTTACCTCTGTTTTAAGAGGTAAGAATTGTAGCGTAGGCCACCAAGCATCAAAAAAAATTTAAAACTCAAAAATCTAAAGGATCAATGCTGGCGCATGTTTCAAATCACTAGTGCCGTTAATATATGCAAATATTGGTATAGATTGCAAAAAACATTAGCCAAAAGACAGAATTTCCCTTGAACTCGCTTTTTAAGCAAGAAACCACACTAAACGAAAGTGTTATCCGGGAAGTCAACTGTTCGAGTTTGCGCTTTGGTTCGTATTTTGGGACAAAAGAAAATAATATGCGGATTAGACTAAGCTAATTCGTCTAGATTTCACGATTGACTGGCATTCGAGTGTCAGAATGAATGAGTATAAGTATTCCTGCATAGCTGAGGTATCTTATAATTACTTCAGATTTTAAGCTGTACTCTTTCCGCCAATGTCTGTGGGCATTACTTGCAGTTTCACATTGCTGCCCAAGAGAAGATACTACAGGGCAAGGTGTTTTTACTGGTGAAACAAATAGCTGGAGTACTTAAAATTTTTGATCACTAAAAATCCTGCAGAGGTTAGGTAAGATTTTTGATAAGCCTGGTGTCAAAGTTGGTGCGTAACTTGTGTGAATGTTTGTAGTTCGCAAAAATTAGAGCGGCTGATTTGGCAAGTTGTATTGGCTGCTGCGCTTTGCATAGTGAAAGTGGATACTCGTGTGCATTCGTTTGTAGGTGGCTTGGATTGGTGCGTCCTAGTGAACTTGGTCGGTTGTGTGTACTTGGTGCACAGCAAAACTAAGATAATGCAACCGATTTTAGTGGTGCTTCAGATATCACAGCGGATAGCGTGTTGATCTATCCTTTCATAACGACACTGCTTTACGGTCCTGGTACACTAACATGTAGTCAGTAAGGGATGATAAACAGAGGTGCATATTCTGCGGTTAAAGAGTCAACCTCGTTGTACTGTTAAATCTGAGGAAAGATTGAATGTTAACGTTATTAGTTAACATTAAAATTTGGTCACGCCAAAGCGTTGCGCACTTTTTAATCCTCAGTTGGTGCTCTCAAGAACTTGTGCAATTCTTTGTAATATCAGTTATAGACTCAATTAGACAAAGTGTATCTGTTTAGACTTGAGCAAAAACAGTAAGTCGTTCTTTTATCGTTTGTTCTGAAACAAGTAGCTGTGCTCAAGTTCCTAAGTTTCCATGCTGATATAGCACGTCTTTAACGTTGATAGTAACTGTGCGTGAAGGAATGATTTTTATTTCAACATTATAATTGAAAGAGTGTTTGTTTATAAATATTTATTTCTGAACATGGTTATATGAAAGACTGCAGGTTGGTTTCAGAAATTACCTTAATTATAAGCCCTTGATGCGCTGTTTGCTTGATTTTAAATCGTTCTTCTGGTCAAACTTTTCCCTCGCAAGACTTCCTTGGTACATATTTCCAATATCCAAGTCGCTTACGAAATTTGTACACATTCGCAGAAATTATTTAGTCAACTTTGTTGAAACTGCGGGCGCAGTGGAATTTTGCCACGTATTTTCATTTCTCCCGGCATTTCACAATTCACTACCAAGCCTCCCGTTGTTTATTCTTAGACGCCTGACCCTTATACATAGCATATTTTTCGATCAAATCTGTGTAGCGTACATTCGTCGTGATAAGCTCCTTAAATTAATCCTTATTAGCTCTTAAACTCCCGGAAACAGCAGACCTCACATCTTGAAAGGTTATATTACTTTCTGCGATTGGAAGCGTTTTATTGTAGTAGTTTGCAATTTATTACGTCCAATGCATATTTCTCGACGGCTTACCTGATGTTATTAACGCAATGAGCCATTTTGAGCCTTACGTCTAATCTGTGAGTCCTAGTTGTAGCTGAGATTGGTTTTGGCTTTCTGTGCTCTAATGGAGTACGTTGGTGTGGCAGCAGTGTTTGTCTTTAATTTTGCAATGTGCACAATCTACGGAGCCCTCCGATCTTATGCTCTGTGACCATGCGGATTCCACGGCATTGCACAATTCATTAGGTCTTGTGTCCTACGTTATTTTACTAAAGCTTGGAAAGGTTGTTCAAATATAAGTGCTTTCTACTACAGGGTCGCGAAGCTCTAAACTGGGTCATCGACAACCGGGTAGATCATTTTATGGTTCGCGCCCCTTTACTTCGTCTTCAGTCCCCGGCTACTACAGCTTCCTCCGGTGCCCCTACCACTTCTAAACCCAGTTGCCCCGCAAATGGGATAACCGCACACTCCTTGTGGAGTCGCTGGCGTTTCTTCCTACCTCCTGCTATCGTGGCACACGCAAGTACCGACCAGTTGTCCAACTCCTCTTTGCTTGTGCGTCGCCAACGGACATGTTCGACGAGCAGTCTACCGGCTTCCCTCGAGTGCGTGGTGACTTCTTTCGACTCCTTCAACCCGACTGAGGCATTGGGCGAAATCAGGGAAAAAGTGGCCACTGACGTCACGGTGTTGCGTGAACGGTTGCGCAGACAGTGTCAGAAAGTTGTCAGTCGATTCTCCAAGGTTGATGAATACGTGCTTATCATGTAGAAGTAGTAACGTCCATCCGGTGCCTGGACCTATTCAATTGTTTAGTATCATTTATTGTTCAGATAGCTATAATGTATCAAGTACACTTGCTATTTTCCCGTGTTTCTTTGACTTGGGACTTTTAAAATCCGAATGACCAAGAGAACTAGGGACACCATACCTCAAATATTCAATATAGACAGTAATCTAGCTTAAGCGATTTCGACTGATGTCGATGTGCCGTAGTGAACAGTACAGTCTTGTGGGAATGGATTTGCGTTCGAGCAAGAGGACTTAAAATTGATTGCAGTCCTTAAATCTTGTGTATGTGGTACTAATGTATGAAGTGTCTAAGGAATAAAAGATAGTAGGGAGACGAGAGACAGCCATATAGTAGAGGTCGCAACCAAGTTTTGGCGGCGTGTGCGTGCAATCACAGTGATAAATGTTTAAAGTAGTTGATGGCCAGTACAATCTGAGTGAACTTGTAAAAGCACAAAACGTTGAATGACCAGATGAGTGATACGGGTAGCTGGTGGATAAATGCTCAGAAGTGTTTTGGCATACGGTACTGTAAGGTTGAGTAGCACGCCGTAGAGAGGGGTCAGCATCAACGAATGTAACGACCACGGTAATGGAAGTGAATTAAAACAACTCACCGACCGAGATGGCACATCTTTGTTTATGCTGAGTTGATTTAAAGTATTCTAAGAATCAATTTGAAAACAATTTATTCTCAACATAGCCCGCGAAATGTGAAGGCCCCAATTTAAAATGTCGCGTTTTAGGTGGATAATGCAATTTTGAGTTGTTCTTATGCAATTTGGAGAGTCGAACTCACTTTAAAGGAGGTTTTCGGTGCATAAGGAGAAGCATTGGTTCTCATGATCTTGTGGTAAAAGAATTCACTGAGTTGAACTAAGTCCAGTTATTTTGAATGCAGTCATAAATTAGTAGCGATTGCATGGGTGCTCAAATTTGTTATTTATTGCAAACAACAAGGTATTCTTTTTCGTAATACGCGTAGATTTAATTAAATTGCTTAATGACGCTAGGTTAATTTGATATCTGAAGCTGTCGACTGCTCTGAAGTGATAAGCAGAACATGATAGAAATTTTTGCTATGATGACTTTATTCGGAAGGAGATTATTATTGCTGTTTCTCTGAATTGCTTATAATTCGTGGCAATGGACTTACTTTAGGGCGAAAATCGTGGTTGCTGTTTTCTTTTTAATCCGATTCCTTTATGATTACACCAAAAAGGTTGGCTAAATTACAGGTTATTTAACACATTGTATTCATTGTTGATTTACATTTCTTGAATTGTAACTTTACATAAGTTACGAAAATATTCCTTTGAGAACCTCTAATTAACCTTTTGATTGAAATCGTCCAAAATAATATAAAAAAGGTGCAATAATTGAGCAAAATCACCTTTGTTTCAACAGATATTCCATTAGTCTCCAGTTATTTAAGTGAAAATGGACATTTTGTTCTTAAAAAAAGCTTTGTTTTGCTTTAGGACAGTTATTTTGTTAAAAGCTGTGAGCTTTATAATGCAAAATAGCCAGCACAAAACTTTAATAAAATTGTAGATGTACAACAACAGGTCGTATTTACATTCCACAGATTTAAACCAAGAATTTTGAAATGTTTGCAACGTGCTTTATATCAGATGGTAATTTTTTCATATTTGAACCGATATATTCAAGGTGATTATCATCTCATCTTGCCCTTAAAAGACACCAATAGAGGGGATTGGCTGAACACTGCTTGGGCCAATATGTCAGCATCCTAGGTTCGGCACGATGTAGAATACCCGAGCACTAATAGGTAAAAGACCGGTACAACAGAACAGGCTTTATTGACCAATCAGAAGCCAGAGCCACGCGTCAGGCGCCTTCCA